CAAGCTCTACCAAATTTCCAAACGACTCTTCGCCACCACCCACACCCAGCTTCCCGCCCTATGACGTTCGGACACTTCACTTCGTGGCATGCGGACGACCGTGGCTACTATTCAGGGCCCCGCGGCCGACGACGACGGCGTGCGCGCGCGAAGAAAAAACGAATGTGTCCCGCATGGTATTATTTGACAGGGATGATGGCCCTGGCAGGTGCGCAACCGTTGTCGCAGAAGTTCGAAAAAGTTGCTCGCAAAAGCCCGTTTGACAGAAATGTTTAAAAAGTGTTGGGTTTCCTACGAATCCGCAAGAGCGCGCGGGATGAGATTTTGACAATTTTTTGTTGAAAAACCATTGGTTTTTTGATGTTTTTATGTTAAAATCGCTGCGAACACTAAGGTTTTGGAAGGATTTCGTCTTGCGCGCGCGAATGTCCACTTTACCTTATTTTTTGCAAGGGATTCTTGAAATTTGATTATATTAGAACAAGAAATGTCATTTTCTATTGTTTTTTGCAAGGGAAAGCGGATTACAACAAAACAACCGGATCCTGTACACACCCTCTTTTCTGAGGCTTCCTCACGAAAATGATGAAAATGTAGCTGCGGCCTAGGCGGCGCAGGGGGGGCGCGCACCAGGGGGCCCAACAATAATTATTCTTTAGAATAAATAATGTTCAACAACAAAGAACAACCGCGCGTGAGTACCCCATGGTCCGAAACCTCGTTCCCCGCGTTCTTCCCTAAGGTGGAACCGCGCGTCTGTGCCCCATTGGCCGGTTCGGAACCCCCCCTACCCCCCCCCCCCCCCAGCAACCAGCAACCAGCAAGCAGCAACCCCCTGCACCGCTGGCGAACTCGCTCGCGCAAAGGTGTGGACTCATCCTCCATGCCATTTTGCCGTGTGTGCACCAGCGAGGCTCCGGAATCTACGGAGTCCTCTCGGATCCTTAGGTGGATCCACCTCTACTACAATCATATTATTGCTGGATCCAGCTCAACTACAATCCTATCACTGTCTGAAGGGTGCCTGCTTAGGGGCCTCTGGAGGAGGATCCCAGAGGGAGGCGGCTTGTAGGCCGGGGCCCCGAGGTGGAGGTCCACACCACCACCGGGAGAAGGCCCAGAGGGAGGTTCCATGGGGAGGAGCTACACTTGATGCAAGCGGCTCCTTGTTCAAAACGGGGCTCTCGTCTGAGGGGGTGCCTGCCCATGGGCCTCTGGAGGAGGATCCCAGAGGGAGGCGGCTTGTAGGCCGAGGCCCCGAGGTGGAGGCCCACACCAGCACCAGGAGAAGGCCCAGAGGGGGGCCCCATGGGGGGGCGCTATACTTGACGCAAGCAGCTCCGTTTCAAAACGGGGCTCTCGTCCGAGGGGCGCCTGCTTTGGGGCCTCTGGAGGAGGACCCCAGAAGGGAGGCGGCTTGCAGGCCGAGGCCCCGAGGTGGAGGTCCAGACTAGAACCAGGAGAAGGCCCAGAGGGGGGTTCCATGGGGAGGCGCTAAACTCGATGCAAGCGGTTCCTTTCAAAACGGGGCTCTCGTCCGAGGAGCGCCTGCCCGGGGGCCTTTTTGGGGGGGGGTCCAAGAGGGAGGCGGCTTGTAGGCCGAGGCCCCAAGGTGGAGGTCCACACCGGCACCAGGAGAAGGCCCAGAGGGGGACCCGTCCGTCCTAACCACAGATGGTTCCTGTTCCTGTTCCTGTTCCTAGAAGGCACGCGCAGTCTGCGAACCTCTACCCGCCGCTGCCATCATGCTGCAACCGTTTGGAAAAGCAACTCTGAACACCATTCTGCTGCTAACGACTCTGCGAGAAAGGCGGACCTCAGCTTGCCCAGTAGTTTCCCTGTCCGGAAAAGCAACTGTTTCTCTCCATTGCGATAAAATGCAATTGCTACTGCCCCGGCGGCTGAATCCCCAGAGGACCTCTTAGCACCATCAATGCTGAATATGTAATTGACGTCTGCTGCTTCCGACGCCCGCTGCATATTTTCGGCGCGTTGGACGAACCAATCTTGACCCATGTCGAGCGCCTTGCTCGCAGCCTCATCGGCTAGCCCGCTGTAATCTCTAGGGCCCCACTCGAATACTCGACGTTGCTTCGTCGGGGAAGCCGCTGGGCACCATGGAGCCGCAGCAACTGCCGTGCGATGCGCACAAACAAGGGCCGCAGCTCGTCACTATGAAGTAGCGACCGCCCTCCGAGAAGTTGCGCCACCTGCAAGTTGTCCGCCTGGATCCACGCTCTGCCCCCGTATGTTCCCCAGGCACGTTCTTCAGAGATTGGCTTCGCAAACTCATGGAGTTCCAATGGCAGCTTGACTATGCGCAGCGCTGGCGCATTGCAAGGGCGAGTCATTGCGGTTTCTGGGACGGGCAGACCCCATTTACGACACACCTCTGCACAGAACTCCGGAAAGCCGTTCATCCACTCGTCCATGGAGCTGCAATCGCCCCTGCGCCCTCCCCAACCCAGGCCCCATGCAATTGCAAATGGGTGGTCCCACGCCGCGGCCGGGTGCCCAGGGCGAGCCCGAGTCATGCCCAAGCGTCGTCGTTTGGATCCGGAGGCAAGGGGAAGTACAGTTTCCCACCGCCGGGTGGACCTACATTGCCGCGCTGCCCGCACCGGGTTCTCGCCGCAATACAAGCTCCACTTCTCGATCTTCCAAGCTTCCTTGAAGACTGCCCTGAGCACCCGAACGAAGATGAATTCCCGTCCGGCCGCATCCATTCATTGAGAATTCATTGACGCAGTCCTGGCGTTGAAATGCATTGCCGTCTCGTCTGGGCGCCTGCGCAAACGGAACATTCTGCGCAGCCTCTGCAATTCCCATGTTCGCAGCTGCTTCAACACTTCAGCAAACAAATGCCACGTCTCTGAACCGCGCTGCACGGTGGCGGCGGGCCCCGTTCCCCAACCTCGCAATCTCATTGAATGGGTGCACCGCGGTTCTGCAATGTTCTCTGGTGTTTGTAGTAGCACAGCTCCGCGCGACCCATGTTGCACTGGACGCTCGCGCGCGCTGCCACTCGGGCCCAACAGCTCACCGAGCAGCTCCAAGTGGTCCCGCCTGTGGTAGTTCAGAGCGCCCCCGTCCTGCCCGATGGCACATGGCCCGCACTCGGCTGTCTTCAAGGATCCGGCGGTTAGGTACTCCAGCGACTCCCTCTTCCATAGCATGCGCTGTCTCCCTGAGCTGTCCACGTAGCGGGCGAGCGCCTCGTTGATATCCTTGATCATTCGCTGCATCATTGGTCCATCTCGCGCAAGAAGAACAACATTGTCTGCCCAGATTGCGTGGGATACTGTTGTGCCTGAATCGTCGGTCCAATCATCTGGAACTTTGAAACCCAAGCCCTCCTGCGCCCATGCGTCCACGACCGGTTCCAAAATGTATTCAATTATGTCTCGCCGCTCGTCTGGCGTTTCCACGCCACCTTGCTTGCCTCCCCGATTAAATGGGAAAGGATCCGTCTTTCCAACAGTAGGTAGGGTAATGGTAGCACTCACTCCGCTCAGTTCTCGCATACATACTCCCACGCCGTGAGCCGGCACGCGTCGATGCAGCAGCGAGGTCATCACTAACTCGTGCGGCATGCTATCAAGGGGCGTCTTCACGTCCTGGCAAGCGATGAGCAGATGAAGATTCCAGCTATCAGCCAAATACGAACATTCCCTGATAAGTCCTGTAAGCGCTCTTGTCGAGGTCTTCGTGCGAAATCCGTACGAGTGCACGCGCGTCGGACGCATATGGCCTCGCAACCTTGGCTGGCGGCTCCTGAGAAACCATTTTTGTAACACCAGTGACTTCCAAATCCAACGGAGGTCGTCGAAGAAGCATGTCGCTTTAACCTTGGGCAATCCAATGAAGAGAAGCACCTTCCAGAACGGCGACGACGGCGACGCCGAGTCCAACTGATCGTAGTCGCGGAAAAGCCGGTGCACGTGAAGCACGCTCAAGAAAGGCAACATGTTGTAGACCTCAGGTGTGATCCCATCCGAACCCGGAGCGCCCCCTTTCTTGAGTTGCGACCTCCTTTGGAAAACATCCCAAAACTCCAAAATAGGCGCCGGACGCCCGTCCAACCGGTCGTTCCGAGCTACTGACACCAACTTGTCCATCCTCTGCTCTTGCTTCTCTGCTAGATTATCGGGGTCGTGGAAACGATGGCGTTCGAACTCCCTCACCCCGCGCAGCCACTCAGCCCCATCATAGCACCAAGAACCGTCGATCTCAAATCCCATGGGCACATGAACTTCAGCATTGCCGTACTTTGCCAAGGCGCCTAACCGTTTCTGCACTACTTGCCTCTGCACCGCCTTGCGGAGAGCCCAGAACTGCCGTAACAACACCTGCCGGTTATCCCCCCGGGTCTCGACGCGGAGACGGGCTCGGATTGCTTTGAGTTGTTGGCGCCACCGTCTATTCTCTGGCTCCCCGATAGAGTCCACTTGGAAGCACCCATTGGCTAGTTCAAATAGGCCCCTTTCGAAACACTCCAAATCGAGACGCAGAAAATCGGGCTGAAGAGTCAGATTCTGAAGCTGCTCCCGCACGGCGCTGTCCTGGAGCACCCGGTTAGGAAGCCGAGCCCGTGGCGGCTGTGAGCCGCGTACGCTCTCCTCCATCACATCCCATTCCACCTCTATCTTTACGGGCCGGTGGTCCATCTTCTTCGTCAGAGGGGACTCGTTGATAAGGTCAAGATAGCTGATGGCACCACCACTCCCGCGGAGCTGACGGGAGACCCCAAAGGAGTCGATTTGGGACCGAGCTTTCATCTTTCGTTTCAGGCCGCACGTCCACAATGAGCTACCGGAGACGTCTTCCCCGTATGTGTTCACCGCCCGCACCCCCAACGCCTGCATCCAAGAGACTACACGGTGCTGCATACGGGGCGCGTGCGAAGCCAATGGTGTCATTGTGGTTGTGCCCGTTACCCCTTCGACTCCTCGTGGAAGCGAGACATTGGCGTCGAAACCGCATACGACACTAATATGAGCTCCGTAACGCATTCGACACTCTTCCAAATATGCAACAGTTTCTTCCCGCACCTCGTCAGCATAATCATTATCAGAATTGTCCACCCCTCGGCTGTGTATGAAATGCGCACTAAAGAATAAGGTGAAACCATGTGGGCCTTGTGCTAGGACAAGACCTCCCCAATATCTGCCGTACCTCTCGTCCCTCACTTGTGGATTCAGGCGCCCTGGCAATAGGAAGCCACAATCGAATCCAGACTCCCCCCCAAGTTCAGCACGTTTGGTCCGGCCGCTATGAACTATCAGCCCCGTACCCTTTATCACACGACCGCATGTCCATTTGGGAATCTCTTGCAGACAAGCAATACACTCTCCAGAGCACACGCGACGCAGACTCCGAGATATCCGAGGAATCTCACTGTGTGGTTTTTTGTGAACGTTGAAAGAAATCACTGGGCAGGAGCCCCCCTCACTGCTCGCATGCAGCGGCGGGCACCCCTAATGCTTTTTATTGCCTCCCCTCCTCCGGAAGTGCTTCACTCCGTCCTTGGCGGCCTTCTCTGACAGGCCACAGATACGAAGACCGTCCTCGTGCCAAGAGACATGCTCCCCAACATGCACTTCGCAAAGAATACCGCTCTCCATCCCAGTCGAGGTCACCTCCACCTTGAAATCTGGATGCCAACCTACGTTCTGCTCGATGGACGCGTCGATGTTCGCCTTCGCCCAGTCCTTGACCAAGCCGAGCTTGGAATACTGCGCTTGGATTTCGGGGGGTCGCTCGGCTCGAACATACAGAACGCAGTCCGCGATGTTCCACACCTTCCCCGCGTTCGTCAGGTACTCGTTCCAACAGCCGCGGATCTCCTGAAGGAAGGCCGGCGTGATGGGGACCTTGATGGAGTAATTACGGGGCCCCCGTAGGTGCATTTCCCGTACATGTTCACGTAGTCCTGGCTCGAGCTGGGCCTTCAGTTCCGATATCAAGTCGGAGGCCTCCTTCCTGGTCATCCCCTTCGTGTCCTTCTCCTCCCATTTGCACAACCCCATGACTTCCACAAAGGATGCTTGCCAAGGGTCTGAACTCTGACCTCCTTCGATTATCCCCACCCTTTCCTCCAGCTTCTTCTGTGCCTCGTTGATGCCCGTGACGTCATCCTTCAAAACGTTCACGTCCTTTTTGATAGGATCACGCATGACCTTCAGCCTCTCCTCCTGCTTCTCCAACAGGCTGCTTTCGGCGCCGGCCCACCAAGCTGGGGGCGCTGCTGGTGGGTCCTCCTTATCCTTCCCCCGACTCCGTGAACGGGAACAGATGCACTCAACAGACTTCTTGCCACAATCCTGACAGAACATGGTTCCTAATACACGTGGTCGGTAAGTGTGATAAGACAGTATACTGTACCAGACTGCTCTTGTACCTCCCCTCTGGGCCCCATTCCTTGAGCCAAATCAGGTTCTCACCGAATCTCGCCGTGCGTCGGCCATCTTCAGACTGCCTGCAGTCGTTGGGCAGTGAATTGTCTACGGGCCGTCGTCGTCGGGAAGGATGAAGCGAAATGAAGCTTCGGTAGAGCTCCCTGCGGGGCCAGGGCCGCGATCCTCGAGAGGGCTGTGCCGAAATGAAGATTCGGTGGAGCTCCCAGTTGGGCCAGGGCCAGGATCCTCGAGAGGGGCGTGTCGAAATAAAGATTCGGTGGAGCTCCCTGTGGGGCCAGGGCCAAGATCATCGAGAGGGGTGTGCTGAAGTGAAGCTTCGGTGTAGCTCCCAACCGCCCGCCCGCCAATTGGCCAGCAAACATCGTAGGATCGGTACTGATGTTGCCCACACAGGCTTGCCCTTTTTCGTTTGGGGAAGTCCTCATCCTCCTCCTCCGCCTGCTCCTGCCTCCTCCTCCTGGCGGAGGAGGCCCAGAGGGGGACCGATCCACCCTAACCAAGTTCTCACCGAATCTCGCCGTGCGTCGGCCGTCTTCAAGCTGTCTGCAGCCGTTGGGCTGTGGGTTGTCTACGAGCCGACGTCGTTGAGAGGGGTGTGCCGAAATGCGGTTTCGGCGGAGCTCCCTGCGAGACCCAGGGCCGCGATCCTCGAGAGGGGTGTGCTGAAAAGAAGCTTCGGTGGAGCTCCCTGTTGGGCCAGGGCCAGGATCCTCGAGAGGTGTGTGCCGAAATGAAGCGTCGGCGGAGCTCCCTGTGGGGCCAAGCCCAAGATCATCGAGAGGGGTGTGCTGAAATGAAGCGACGGTCCAGCACCCTGTGGGGCCAGGGCCACGGTCCTCGAAATGTGTGTGTGTGCCGAGATGAAGCTTCGGTGGAGCTCCCTGTGGTACCAGGGCCACGATCCTCGAGAGGGGTGTGCCGAAATGAAGCATCGGTGGAGCTCCCTGTGGGGCCAGGGCCACGATCCTCGAGAGTGGCGTGCCGAAATGAAGCTTCGGTGGAGCTCCCTGTGGGGCCAGGGTCACGATCCTCAAGAGGGGCGTGCGGAAATGAAGCTTGGGTGGAACTCCCTGTGGGGCCAGGGCCACGATCCTCGAGAGGGGTGTGCCGAAATCGGGCTTCGGTGGGGCTCCCTGTGGGGCCAGGGCCACGATCCTCGAGAGGTGTCCGCCGAAATGAAGCTTCGCTGGAGCTCCCTGTGGGGACAGGGCCACGATCCTCGGGAGGTGTGTTCCGAAATGAAGTTTGGGACGAGCTCCCTGTGGGGCCAGGGCCGCGATCCTCGAGAGGGGCGTGCCGAAATGAAGCTTCGGCGGAGCTCCCTGCGGAGCCATGGCCACGATCCTCGATAGGGGTGTGCCGAAATTAAGTTTCGGTGGAGTTCCTTGTGGGGCCAGGGCCGAGATCCTCGAGAGGGGCGTGCCGAAATGAAGCTTCGTTGGGGTTCCCTGTGGGGCCAGGGCAGCGATCCTCGAAAGGGGTGTGCCGAAATGAAGCTTCGGTGGAGCTCCCTGTGGGGCCAAGGCCGCGATCCTCGAGAGGGGTGTGCCGAAATGAAGCATCGGTGGAGCTCCCTGTGGGGCCAGGGCCACGATCCACGAGAGGGGCGTGCCGAAATGAAGCTTCGTTGGGGTTCCCTGTGGGGCCAGGGCAGCGATCCTCGAAAGGGGTGTGCCGAAATGAAGCTTCGGTGGAGCTCCCTGTGGGGCCAAGGCAGCGATCCTCGAGAGGGGTGTGCCGAAATGAAGCATCGGTGGAGCTCCCTGTGGGGCCAGGGCCACGATCCACGAGAGGGGTGTGCCGAAATCGGGTTTCGGTGCAGCTTCCCGTGGGGCCAGGGCCACGAAGCTCTATAGATGCGTGCTAGAATGAAGCTTCGGAGGAGCTCCCTGTGGGGTCAGGGCCACGATCCTCGAGAAGTGTATGCCAAAATGAAGCTCCGGTGGGGCTACATATCGGACCAGGGCCGCGATTCTCGAGAGAGGTGTTCCGAAATGTAGCTTCGGTTATGCTCCCTGTGGGGCCAGGGCCACGATCCTCGAGAGAGGTGTACCGAAATGAAGCTTCGGTGGAGCTCCCTGTGGTGCCAGGGCCGCGATCCTCAGGAGGGGTGTGCCGAAATGAAGCTTGGGACGAGCTCCCTCTAGGTCCAGGGCCACGATCCTCGAGAGGGGTGTGCCGAAATGAAGCGTCGGTCCAGTTCCCTGTGGGACCAGGGCCACGATCCTCGAGACGGATGTCCCGAAATGAAGCTTCGGTGGCGTTCCCTGCGAAGCCAGGGCCGCGATCCTCGAGAGGGGTGTGCCGAAATGAAGCTCCGGTGGAGCGCCCTGTGGAGCCAAAGCAACAATCCCGTGGGGAGGTCCAGCGAAATGAAGCTTCCGTGGGCCTCCCTAAGGGATTGTTGCTGGTTGCTGGTTGCTGGGGGGGGGGAACACGGGGCCCCAACCCCCGTTTATTCCAACAACAACAACAACAACAACAATCATCCTACCCTCATGCGCGATGTTTCCACACGAAGCATGCGACCATCATAATAACCATCCACGTAATAGAGGACTTTTGTTCTATAGCGGGGTCCGTTATTCCCATTCCAAGATATCCCGCCCAATGAGGTCTTGCAAACACCTCCTCCGAGGAATGTCAAAATATCCCGCGCCTTGCTGCGCCGATGCGAGACCGCCAGTGGAATCCCAGCGAAGGGTAAAGCACAAGGAACTATCGAACGACAGGATTGCCTTGGTGGGGATGGGGTCTGTCGGCGGCGAGGCAAGGACCTGGCCCTGAATAGACAGGATGAAGTCTCGAGCAAGGCTGCTGTTGTTGTTGGGAGCGGCGACAACACTGAAAAGAGTAGGGCGCTAGTCCAGCGTAAAAGAAAACGAAGTCTCGAGTGGGAACGCTGGTTTTGTTGGGCCAGCGGCTTTCGGCGGCGAGGAGGAACACCGCCTTGAGTAAGAAAAGAAGAAGCATCGAGCGGGAGCCGTGGTTTTGTCGGGACGGGGGCTGCCGGCGGCGAGGAACAGCACCGTCCCGAGGAAAAAAAGAGAAATCTCGAGCGGGAGCGTTGTTTTTGCTGGAAGCGGCGCCACTTCAAAACAGAGTAGGGCGCCAGTCCAGCGTAAAACAATAGGCGGGAGCGCCTTGTATTGTCGGGGCGGCGGCTTTCGGAGGCGAGGAGGAGCAGCGCCTTGAGTAAAAAAGGGGGGGAGCCTCGAGCGGGAGCGTTGTTTTTGCTGGGGGCGGCGCCGATGAGAGAAAGACTAGCGCGCCAGTCCAAGGTAAAATGGAAGGAAGTCTCGAGCGGGAGCGCTGGTTTTGTTAGGACGGCGGTTTTCGGCGGCGAGCAGAAACACCAGCCCTGAGCAAAAAAGGAGGAAGTCTCGAGCGGGAGCGTTGTTGTTGGGGGGCCGGTTTTGGCGGTCCCCTAAAACGCTCGAGCGTGAGCCTCATTGTCAATGAAAATGTAGCCGGCGCCTCGGCGAGAGCGCCAGAGCGCCTTTATGGTGACCAATGATAAGAACTGTTATATAATTAACACTAAACATCAACACCAACAACAGCAGCAACATTCATCCTACCCTCGCGCGCGATGTTTCCACACGAAGCATGCGACCATCATGGTAAGCATCCACGTAATGAAAGTTCAACAACAACAACAACAACAGCAACAACAACAACGACAACAACGACAACAACAACAACAACAGCAACAACAACAACAACAACAACACCAACAACAACAACAACAACAACAACAACAACAACAACAACAACAACAACAACAACAACAACAACGACAACGACAACGACAACGACAACGACAACAACAACAGCAACAACACAGCAACAACAACTGCAACTGCAACAATAACAACGATAACAAGATCAACAACAACAATAGTAACCACAACACATTGGTAATCATCATAATGAGCAGCATCACCACCACCATGGCCACCACCACCACCACCACCATCACCATCATCAGCATCGTCATCATCATCATCACGGTCAGCATCGTAATCCGCCGACCCCTCGTGTGTCTCCAGGCGCGTGAGATTGTTCCCCCCCCATAATCCCCCCCCAGGGCCCCCAATCCGGGATTTTGACCCCCCCCCCGGCCCCTGGTGGCCCCCGACCGAACGCGTCACAGGGCTCCAAAACTTACCAAAAAGGTACCAAAACTCACCAAAAAGGTACCAAAACGCTCCCCGGACGGCCCCCGAGACCACGATTCGCCGACATAGCGCCCCCAGACGCCCACGATGGCCCCCCTGGCGGTCTCTGAAGCTACCGAGACGCCCCCAAAAAAGGCCCCTAAGATGCGCCCCGACAGGGTCGCAAGAAACAAAAATCTACACATTTCCTACGAAAACCACGCAGTACTCCGCACGCTCGCCTACTCGGCAATCACAGCGTCCACGACAAGCACAGACACCTTCAACATCGCTCCCAGACGACCAAAGGGGCCCCAAAGCAAGGTCGCTGGGGGTCCAACAACAGCCCACGAAGCCCCCAAGACAGCCCAGGAGGGCCCCCAGACGGCCCCAACACGGAGTCCGCAGGGCACCTTTTTCGAGCCTTCGGCTCCGAGACGCTCCCAGCCTGCTCCAAGAACACCCCAAAAGAGCCTGCGGGACCTCCCAGAAAACCTCCGAGGCCTCCAAGAAGCCACGAGGAAGTCCCCAAGAGGCCCCAAAACTACCTGCAAGACGACCCCGTCAGGCCTCGCACGAGATCTTCTTCACTATCCGTGTGGCCGCCTACCTGTATCCCGCGCAAGGTGGCGGGATGCGCCGCGTCCCATTCGACAACGACTCGTCCAAATTTTGGGCCGCCGCATGCCGTCTATGGGCGCGGGTGTTGACAGGCATTTTCCCGAAATCGTCACTCCTCCTTCTCCTCCTCCTCCGAGGACCCTCCTCCGCCTCTCACCCATCCCCCCCTCTTCCTCCTCCACTTTCTCCTGTTTAGTACCATGTCACCATCTCCACGTCTCACCATCAACAACATCACCACCAGCATCATCATCGCCATCACCCGCACCATGACCACCGCCATCACCATCACCACCACCACGGATCACCATCACCACCGCCATGGATCACTGCCTTGTCGCGTGTCTGGACACATGTGATGCAACCCGCATCCGCCAACCCCATTCGGGGCCTCCAGACATGTAAGATTCGCCCCGTGGACGGCCCCACATGCCCCCGGACTCGTTCGGGGATGGCCCCGAAGAGCCTCGAGCCCGCCCACCCAAAGAAACAAGACAACACAAGTACGCCCCAGGATAGCAACACGACATCCCCAAGCCGATCAAGGGGTCGGCGGATGTGGCGTAAGCCTACATAATCATCATCATCATCATCATCATCATCATCATCATCATCATCATCATCATCATCATCATCATCATCATCATCATCATCATCATCGTCATCATCATCATCATCGTCGTCATCAGCATCAGCATCAGCATCAGCATCATCATCACAATCATCATTGGAATCATCATCATCATCATCATCATCATCATCATCATCATCCATCGTCATCATCATCATCATCATCATCATCATCATCATCATCATCATCATCATCATCATCATCATCATCATCATCATCATCATCATCATCATCATTGTCATCATCATCCCCATCTTCTTCTTCATTGGCAGCGCCATCGTCGCCATGAACGTCGTCGTCACGACGCCCACAAACACCACCCATCAACACTACTGTCCCCTCCTCTGCCTCCTCCATCCCGTCAAGGATAGAGAGAGAGAGAGAGAAAAGACGGCATAAACATAAGCATTTGGCGCTCCGCGAGGATTTCTTGGATCCGCGCTGGGCCCCCCTCCCTGGCGCGCGGAGCGCACCAGGGGCGGCACCGAAGGCGCCGCCATTTGGGCCCAGCGCGGCGGATCCAAGAAATCCGCGCGGAGCGCAAAAAGTTTATGTTTATGCCGTTTCTTCTTCTTCGAAAGGACGGAGCGCGCGCCTTCTGCTCGCACCCGACGGCCCTGTGGGGCATCGACTCGGTCGCGGCGCCCTCCCCGCCGCCCCGCTCCGACACGAACCACGCCACCTGCTCCCTGCAGGAGCCCCTCTTGCCCTCTGCTCCGGGGGGCGCCGGGCGGGTCGCCTCGCCGATCCCAAACCGCCAATGCACTTAACATTAGGTCAGGCCTGTCCCCCTCTACGGGGGGATTTTGGACGAAAGAAAAAACATAGTCAAAAAAATACTCCATAAATACTCAAAAATCCTCAACCCGACAATAACCACCCCGACACGCGAGGCCTTTAGCAAACGCGCCCCAAGAAGGAATCGAAGAGGGCAGGGCTGTTTAGTACACGCCAAGGGCCGTTTGGTAAACGCCGAGTGTCCGGTCTGGATGTTTTTTCCTCCCTCGATGAAAATTCGGCACCAAATTCTGTCATTGTTTTCAGCGTTGGGGGGCCACCACTGGGGCCCAGCTCCGTCAAAAGAACGATTCAGACTGAAAAGCTGAGCGCGAATAAAAAAGGCGGGTTTGGGGGGGACGCTGCATGCACTAAACACGGACTCGGATATCTGGGGACCCTCTCTGGAATGGGCTCCCTTGACGTCCTCGCGCTGCGAAAAGACCACGGCGGAAGGTTCCCATACTCCCGACAATATGATTTCTTCGATTCGGCGAGGGCGCATACCCTGAGACCTGACGTCGCGGAAAAACTGCAGTATCGTGAAAAATTCACAACTGCATCCCAAACACCATCTTTCTGCGGCACTTCCCCAGCTGGAGCGATCCGCGAGGGCCCCGGGGCCGAGACCCGGCATTGATTACACCAGTCCTCAGGGTAATTGATGGCGACGCCCAACTCTCATCAGATCTCATGGTAATTACACTGGTCCTGGGCCCATGCCCTGTTCCAAGGTCCCCCAGGACTTCCAAGTCGGCTTAAGTCGGGCATGTCCCCCTACAGGCGGATTTTGGGCGAAAAATTCAAAATACTTACAAATTTCCAAACATAATCCACAAATGCTCAACAAAAACCGTCCCGGAACTAATTCTATTTTTGAATATTCCTCCCGGCTTACAAGTAGGCCCCAGCGGCCTCCAGACCGCCCCTCGCGAGGCCCGAGGGTCCCGAGGAGCTCCAAATCTCGGGCGAAAAGCTGCAGGCACCTCTTCGAAGGGGCCCAAGGACACACAAATAAATACACACAAATCCCAGGATTCTCAATATTTTCCCACACACACACACACACACACACACACTCTCTGGGTTTTCGTCTTCCCCCCCACTTCCCATAGTTTTCCATATTTTCCTGGGGTTCGACGATTAATTGTGTCTGTGCGTTTTTGTTGTCCCCTCCTGAACCTCTTGGGCCAGGGACACGCCTTCAGCGACCCCCGAGATCGGAGGGTGACCCGCATGACAACCCCCGACCTACCTCGCAGGCCGCCCCGCAAGGGTCGGGCAACACCTGAAGGAAGAGAAATGGTAAAAAGCACTCTGTCGAAGGTCCGCGGTTTCTATCTGCGCGGAAACTCCCTTCCTGGCGCGCGGGGCGCGCAAGGAGCGGCACCGGAGACCCCAGAAGGAGGGTACAGCACAGATCCAAGAAATCCGCGCGGAGCTCCGAAAGTTTACAGTCAAGACGCTGAAATCGGGACCACTTTGAGCTCAGGAGGAACTCTGGTATTCGGGCCAGTTCCTCAGATCCAGGTCGACAAACCTGTGCGTGGCCGAGGCTCGCCGTGGCCAGAAAAGCCCTTGGAACCCTTATTCGGCGCTTCTTGTGGCAACACGAAGTTTATATTTTATATATAGATGTGTGAAGAAGAGAAGACGGCGTCAACATAATTTATCTGAGGTCCGCGCGGAGTTCCTGTATCGGCGCTGGACCCACCTCCCTGGAGCGCGGTGCACGCCGGTGGCCGCGCTGGCGGCGCCTCCAGGGCAGCCCAGCGCCGATCGGAGAGACTCGCGCGGACCTTCGAGAAACTTTGTGTATGCCGTTTTTTGTCATCGACTGTGTGTTCACGGCGCTAAATTTTCCGATGCGTGGACCCCCCAGATGTCTGGACAACTTCCCCAAAGGCGGCTTTCGCCCTGAGTCGCTCATCGACGCTCCCAAGGCCCAGCGCGAGCCCCCTGAGGCCAGAAACGGCCAAGAATCTGCCGCGCATTTTTTGTCGGAGCCTCGGATCTCTGGAGAGTGCATCCTTATGCCATTTTCTCTTCTGAGACCTTGGACGACCGGCGTCGCCGACCGCCGCTGGGGGGTGCCACCGTGGGCGCCGGCGACGGGGGCGCGGCCGTGGGCGCCGCGGAGGGCTCCGCCGAGGGTTCGGCGGGCTCGCCGTCGAAGGGACCCAGCGGGTCTGGCTCCTTCGGTAGTGCTCAACACGTGTGCTTGGCGTCAACCGTCCTCCTCCTCCTCCTCCTCCGCCTCCGCCTCCGCCTCCGCCTCCTCCTCCTCCTCCTCCTCCTCCTCCTCCTCCTCCTCCTCATCATCATCATCATCATCATCATCATCATCATCATCATCATCATCATCATCAGCATCATCATCATCATCATCATCACATCATCAGCATCATCATCATCATCATCAGCATCATCATCAGCATCATCATCATCATCATCATCATCATCATCATCATCATCATCATCATCATCATCATCATCATCATCATCATCATCATCATCATCATCATCATCATCATCATCATCATCATCATCAGCATCATCATCATCATCATCCTCATCTCCTCATCTCCTCATCTCATCATCTCCTCACCCCTCCTCCTCCTCCTCCTCCGCCTCCTCCTCCTCCTCCTCTTCCCTCTCGCTCTCCTCCTGTCCTCCCCCTCCCCCCCCCTACTCCTCCCTCATCCTGCTCCTCCTCCTCCTCCTCTTCCTCCTGATCCTCCTCCTCCTCCTCCTCCTCCTCCTCCTCCTCCTCCCCCTCCTCTACTGCTCCTCCTGCTCCTGCTCCTGCTCCTCCTCCTCCTCCTCCTCCTCCTCCTCCGCCTCCTCCTCCTCCTCCTCCTTCTCCTCCTTCTCCTCCTCCTCCTTCCCTTTCCTCCCCCCTGTTCCTCCTCCTCCTCCTCCTCCTCCTCCTCGGCCGAAATTAACGACAAGACCTCCCGCTGCGACCGTGCCACAACGCGCAAGGGGGTCTAGTTGGTGGCCCCTCCCGGGGGCCCAACACGCACCAAGTGTCCGAGCTGCGTCCAGCCGTGGCGACGAAGGGCCCCCCCCGCAGGCCAGCTGCCAGTGTCAAGCGGCCCTCCGTCGAGTCGCGCCCTTGCGCCTCCACCCTTCGGCGGCGGGCGCGGGAGGGGACGCGAGAAGGCCCAGAGGCTGTCAAAACGCCCCAAGGAATCTCCAAGAGCACTCCCCACAGGGCCCCCCAAAGCAGAAACAGGGCCTCCCAAAACAAAATCAATCGATGGTCCGTACGTCTCTGAAAGAGGTTCACGCTTCCGCTGTTTCAAGTTCCCGACGCTCCAAGACGGCCCAAGAGGCTCCCAGATCGTCCCAAGACGGCCCAACGGATCCCCCAGAGGGTCCAGAGACGGTCGAAGACGCCCCCAAAACGGCCCCAGAGATCTCCAAGACAGCTCAAGAAAGCGCCAAGAACGCCCAAAGAAGAGCCCCAGAAGGGGAACGCGAACAGACACTGCGAGTTCTCCGCCCTACAAGGCCCCCCAGAAGACTCCAAGAGGCCTCGAAGGGGCCGCCAAGAGGCCCCAAGAAGCCCCAACGAGGCTCCCAGGCGGGCTCCAAAGAGACCCCAGGAGGCCCCCCAAAAAGCGCCGCATGATGCGTCAGAACTGCCCCCCAGACCTCCGAGATTCCCTCAGACGCCGCGTCGCCGCCCGTCTCCTTCCAGCCGCATCTCCCGCCTGATCGCAGACCTCTACGCCGCAGCGCAGGCACTCGCAGGGGTGCCTGGCGTGCCGAACGATATCGCTTTTGGTTTTGGCTCTGTTCCCAAAAGAACTCCCCCTGGAGCTTCGTCACGTCCCGCCAGCCACCCGGAAGAGGTGGTTGCAAACGGTTTTCCTGCCCCAGACGGCCCCAAGATGACCTCCAAGACGGCCAAGACGCCTCCAAGACGGCCACGATGGCCTCCAAGACGGCTCAGAGGGCCCCAAAATGCCTCCAAGACGGCCCAAGATGTACCCAAGACGGCCTAAGATAGCCTGACGACGGCCCAAAACGGCCCACGAGGCCCCCAAGAGGCCTCCAAGACGGCCCAAGAGGCCTCGAAGAGGTCCTCCAGGAAGGCCCGAAGAGGCAAAATCATTGATTTTCCTTTGGCTTTTGAAGGATTTTGGCATTTGCGCTCTTTCAGCTTTCCGACGGCCCCAGACGGCCCAAGAGACCCGCAAGATAGCCCAAGAGGCCTCCAAGATGGCTCCGTGACGGCCCAAGAGGCCCCCAAGACGGCCCCAAGAGGGCCCCAAGACGGCCCAAGACGCCTCCAAGACGCCAAAGATGGCCTCCAAGACGCCCAAGATGGCCTCCAAGACGGCCCCGAAGCGCCCCAAGAGGGCCCCAAGTCGGCCCAGAAAGGCTCCCAAGACGGCTCCCGACGGCGTCAGACGGGCCAGGAGCCCACCAAGATGGCCGAAGTTGGCTCGAAGCTGGCCCAAGACGGCCCAAGAGGCCCCCAAGAGGGCCTCCAGGAAGGCCAGAAAAGGTCAAAAACATTGATTATCCTAAGGTTTTGTTTTACGGATTTTGACATTTGCTTCTTTTCGGCCTTCCGACGGCCCGACACGGCCCAAGAGCCCCCAAAGATCGCCGAAAAATCGCCCAAGAGGCCTCCAAGATGGCCCCAGAACGGCCCAAGAGGGCCCCAAGACGGCCCCAAGGGACCCCCAAGACGGCACAGGAGGCCTTTTAGAAGCCCAAGGTGGCCTCCAAGACGGTCGTGGAGCATTCCAAGAGGGCCCCAAGTCGACCCATAGAGGCCCCCCAAACGGCTTCCGACGGCGTCAGACGGACCAGGAGCCCACCAAGACGGCCGAACATAGCCCTTTTATGGGCCAAGAGGCCTCCAAGAGGGCCTCCAGGAAGGCCCGAAAAGGCCAAAGTCATTGATGTCCCATGGGTTTTTGAAGGATTGTGTCATTTGCCTTTTTTCTGCCTTCCGACGGCCCGAGACGGCCCAAGTGCCCCCCAAAAATCGCTCAAGAGGCCCAAGACACGGCCCCAGGAGGCCCCCAAGACGGCCCAAGAGGCCTCCAAGAGGCTCAAGATGGCCTCCAAGACGGCCCAAGAGCCCTCCAAGACGTTCTCCAAGAAGGCCCGAAAGGGTCAAAGTGGCCTCCAGACGGCCAGGATGACCTTCAAGATGCCCATGTGTTCCCCGAAGGCTTTCCAAAACGATTCGGGGAACACATGGTCCGATAGCTTTTTTTTAATAGTAGCAGTGCGGACGCATGGTAAAGAGTGACAGTAAGGAAGACTGTGAAAACCAAAACACGCAGCACCTGTTGCTGCGAAAATTGTGCAAGCAGCAAGGACGGATGAATGCGACAAGTGAGGCTGGCACTCTCCTCCACCCCCCCCCTGCAATCGTCTCAGTCCCCCTCCCCCACCTCGTCCTCCACCTGAGAAATGGATCATGGAAATGGCGTTGCCCCAACCGCCGCCGCACATCAGAAATCAGGGCCTCGAGCGAGCGCAAGAAGGCTCCTAGGGGAGCCCCAGGATGCAAAGCAGCTTGCAGCCCTGCATCTGTCCTCATATCTTTGTCTGGCACTCTGGCACCTGTAAAGCAGCTGCAGCCCTGCTACGTTATATAATCTTTGCGCAACATATGATATTGAGGTATCCGTGCGCTTTCCAAATTCAACTGAGCGTCGCGCGCTGCGAACGAAAAGAAGGAAAAGAACTGCTGCAACCGCATGTTTTGAAACATCGCTTCAGAGCACGGAAACTGGCTCTGCACTGTCACAGTTCTGTATGTCGCAGGACGCGGAAACACGTATTTCATTAGTGGCAGTCCGGAAGCGTGCTAGGGAACAGCGCGGCCATGGAACATCGAAAAGCTAAACACACAGAAGCTGCTGCTGCTGCCAAAGCTGTGCAATCAGTAAGCACAAATGCATGCGACAAGTGAGGCTGGCGCTCTCCTCCTCCTCCTCCTCCTCCTCATCATCATCATCATCATCCTCCTCCTCCTCCCCCCCATGTCTCCATTCCACCCCTCGGCATCACCCGCACCACCCGCGACTAAAAACATCCCCTCTGCACATGGCTCGCCTTGCTCGCGCAACCCTGCTGGGCGCTGGGCTGCTTGCTCGCGGGGCAGCGTCGTGGCGGCGATGGCTTGGCGCCGCCAGCTGAATGGCATCCTCCGCGTTCCTCCCCTCCTCCCCCTCCTCAGTCCCCCACACGGGCCCACACGTCCCCCCTTCCCCTCGTCCAGTAAAACTGTCAACCGCGCGCTCACAGGGCAGCTGGCCTTTGGGCGATGAAGGGGTGGAGCATGGGGTTCTTGATGCGGCGCAGCCGGCTCGCCGTCCACATCCTGACGTTCTCCGAGTATCCCTGCCTCGCCGCCGAGCTGACCTCGATCACGGTCCCGGTGACTCCAGCGCCGGCATCTCTGGTCAGCCGCGATTTGTTCCACAGGATGGAGAATTCGCGGGCGTCGTTCGAGGTGGCAAAATTTACGAACGCGATCCCCCTGGTGGTCCCCGTTTCGAAAGTCGTCGGCATGTAGACGTAGTCGTAGCGGCTCGCGAAACCAGACTTGTCGAAGAGGTCCATCAGGTCAGCTTGCGTCATGGCCATGGGGATGTTCTGAATCACGAGCGTGGTGATTCTTGAAACGCCAGGGGCGGCGGGCGCTACCTCCTCGGTAGCTACTGGCATGCTGTCAACGAGCTCGCCCTGTTGAAACTCAAGCTCCTCCAAGAAGGCCGTCTGCTCGCGGATATTCCGCCTGACCTCCTGAGCCTCCTGTTGGATCTTGGCCAGCAGCTGCTTCTGCGCCAGGAGCTGGGCCCGCATGCTTGCCAGCCCCCTGCCGGCCGCGGGCGTGCCACTGGAGGTCCCTGCCCGCCCTCCGCTGGCACACTGTCTCGCCCGCGCTGCGCGGTCTGGCTCGCCTCGGCGGCCTGCGGCGAGCCCCGCCTCAGTGGCAGAGAGCGGCGGCATGCCGGGCGGCCTGATCGACGACCAGGCTGGCGCCGCCCCCGCGGCGCGATGGATCAGCGGAGCGCCCCCGCGCGGGTGGTCGAACTCGTCAAGAGTCTTCCATGACTCGCCGCCGCTCGACTGCAGAATGGGGTGGTCTTCCTGCCTGCGCGGCAGCGGCTGGCCATGGAGCAGCAGAACGCCTGCAGGCTGAGATGACAACTGCGCATCGGCCGCCGGGGCGGCTGAATCCTGCGCGTGTTCGGATGGGTGGCTGCCTGTGGCTTCTGCCCGCCGACGCTCGCGCGGATGGTCGAACTCGTCAAGAGTCTTCCATGACTCGCCGCCGCTCGACTGCAGAATGGGGTGGTCGTACTGCCTGCGCGGCAGCGGCTGGCCATGGAGCAGCAGTACGCCTCCAGGCTGAGATGACAGCTGCACATCGGCCGCCGAGGGGGCGCTGCCCGGGCCCAACCAGGCTGAATCCTGCGTGTGTTCCGATGGGTGGTTGCCAATGATTTCTGCCCGCCGACGCTCCCGCGGGAGGTCGAACTCGTCAAGAGTCTTCCATGACTCGCCACTGTTCGACTGCAAAATGGGGTGGTCTTCCAGCCAGAGCGGCAATGACTGCGTGGTGACCGGCTGCATGGTGGGCAATGATCCGATGCTAGGCATCGACGTACACATGTCACCTAAGATTTGGTCCAACGAATGAGGGTTCACGTAAGTATCAAAAAAATCGTCACTGTGGATGCACTGAGTCGTGAATGCGTCCATTGTGTGAAACGGCAAATTGTCGGTGTGATCCAGTAGACCTAAGCGCAAGCACAATGAAAAATTAACCCGAAGGCGCTTGAGCCCCAACTTGAGCCAAAATGGCTGCGGAACACATGGTCCGATAGCTTGGCAGGTCTGGCCTCAACGTTTGGCCACATAGGCGCTTCCAAAAAGGCAGGGGGCGGCGGTGAATCGCCGTTGGCGTATTCGATCCGCCGCGTCCTGTCGATTCATCGCAGGGGTGCCTGGCGCGCTAAATTATTTTGGTTTTGGTTATGTTTCCCAAAGAACTCCCCCTGTGGCTTCGGCCCGTCCCGCCGTGGTCCCGGGAAGATTGCCCAGGACCGGAAACGACCTCAACGTCCGCAAAAAATTCTCCAAGACGGCTCAAGATGGCCTCCAAGATGGCCACGTTGGCCCAAGATGGCCTCCAAGATGGCCTCCAAGTCCGCCCAAGAGAGGAGGAGATGCCTCCAAGTCCGCCCAAGAAACCTCCAAGACGGCCCAAAAGGCCCCTAAGAGGCCTCCAAGACGGCCCAAGAGGCCTCCAAGAGGTCCTCCAGAAGGGGCCCGAAGAGGCCAAAATCATTGATGTTCCTCCAATTTTTGAAGGACTTTGGCATTTGCTTCTTTCCGGCTTGCCGACGACCCAAGACGGCCCAAGAGGCCCCCAAGATCGCCCCCACAGCGCCCAAGTGGCCTCCAAGATGGCCTCAGGACTGCCCAAGAGGCCCCCAAGACGGCCCCAAGAGGGCACAAAGACGGCCCAAGAGGCCTCCAAGACGCCCAAGATGGCCTCTAAGACGGCCCTGGAGCACCCCAAGAGGGCCCCAAGTCGGCCCAGAGAGGCCCCCAAACGGCTTCCGACGGCGTCAGACGGGCCAGGAGCCCACCAAGATGGCCGAAGTTGGCTCGAAGCTGGCCCAAGACGGCCCCAGAGGCCTCCAAGAGGGCCTCCAGGAAGGCCAGAAAAGGCCAAAAACATTGATTGTCCTTAGGATTTTGAAGGATTTTGACATTTACGAAGGCCCGATACGGCCCAAGAGCCCCCAAAGATCGCCCAAGAGGCCTCCAAGATGGCCCCAGAACGGCCCAAGAGGGCCCCCAAGACGGCCCCAAGAGGCCCCCCAAGACGGCCCAGGAGGCTTGTAAGACGCCCAAGATGGCCTCCAAGACGGCCCTGGAGCATTCCAAGAGGGCCCCAAGTCGGCCTAGAGGGCCCCCCCAAGCGGCTTCCGACAGCGTTGGACGGGCCAGGAGCCCACCAAAATGGCTGAAGATGGCCCGAAGATGGCCCAAGACGGCCCAAGAGGCTTCCATATGGCCTCCGGGAAGGGCCGAAAAGGACAAAATTATCCCGGCAAAGCAACCTAACAGCGATGTGTAGGAGCATATCTGAAAGCATTCCCCTTAAGATTCAGATGATTATCCCGGCAAAGCAACCTAACAGCGATGTGTAGAAGCATATCTGAAAGCATTCCCCTTAAGATTCAGATGAAAATCCAGTTGTCGAATTCTGCTGTTCTCGCAGTCGTAGTCGCATTCGCGATGACAGTCGCAGCGGCAACGGCAGTCGCAGTCACAGCCTCAGCCTCAGCCTGCCTCCTCCTCCTCCTCTTTCTCCTGCTCCTCCTCCTCCTCCTCCTCCTCCTCCTCCTCCTCCTCTTCCTCCTGCTCGTCCTCGTTCTCGTCCTCCTCGTCTTGCTCGTCCTCCTCCTCCTGGTGCTCCTCCTCCTCCTCCTCCTCCTCCTCCTCCTCCTCCTCCTCCTCCTCCTGGTGGTCCTCGTTCTCCTCCTCCTGGTGCTCCTCCTCCTCGTCCTCCTCCTCCTCCTCCTCCTCGTCCTCCTCCTCCTCTTCCTCCTCCTCCTCCTCCTCCTCCTCCTCCTCCTCCTCCTCCTCCTCCTCCTCCTGGTAGTCCTCCCCCTCCCCTCCTCCTCCTCCTCCTCCTCTTCCTGGTCGTCCTCGTTCTCGTCCTCCTCGTCTTGCTCGTCCTCCTCCTCCTGGTGTTCTCTCCTCCTCCTCCTCCTCCTCCTCCTCCTCCTCCTCCTCCTCCTCCTCCTGGTGGTCCTCGTTCTCCTCCTCCTGGTACTCTCCCCCCCCCTCCTCCTCCTCCTCCTCCTCCTCGTCCTCGTCCTCCTCCTCCTCCTCCTCCTCCTCTTCCTCCTCTCCTCCTCCTCCTCCTCCTCCTCCTCCTCCTCCTCCTCCTGGTACTCCCCCCCTCCCCCTCCTCCTCTCCTGGTGGTCCTCGTTCTCCTCCTCCTGGTACTCTCCCCCCCCCTCCTCCTCCTCCTCCTCGTCCTCGTCCTCCTCCTCCTCCTCCTCCTCTCTCCTCCTCCTCCTCCTCCTCCTCCTCCTCCTCCTCCTGGTACTCCTCCCCTCCCCTCCTCCTCCTCCTCCTCCTCTTCCTGGTCGTCCTCCTCCTCCTGGTCGTCCTCCTCCTCCTGCTCGTCCTCCTCCTCCTCCTGCTCGTCCTTCTTCTCCTGCTCCTCCTGCTCCTCGTCCTGCTCCTGCTCGTCCTCGTCCTCCTGGTCTTGCTCGTCCTCCTCCTCGTCGTGCTCTTGCCCCTGCTGAAAATGTGGCCCAGGAATGGGAGTTCTGGGAAGTCGAAGAGCACGAAGTTGCCTACAGTTGGCTACGGGCATTCAAAATGTGGCCCGGGAATGGAGTTCTGGGAACTCGAAGAGCACGAAGTGGCCTACAGTTGGCTCCGGGCATTCAAAATGTGGCCCGGGAATGGAGTTCTGGGAACTCGAAGAGCACGAAGTGGCCTACAGTTGGCTCCGGGCATTCAAAATGTGGCCCGGGAATGGAGTTTTGGGAATAGAAGAGCACGAAGTGGCCTACAGTTGGCTCCGGGCATTCAAAATGTGGCCCGGGAATGGAGTTCTGGGAACTCGAAGAGCACGAAGTGGCCTACAGTTGGCTCCGGGCATCCAAAATGTGGCCCGGGAATGGAGTTCTGGGAAATAGAAGAGCACGAAGTGGCCTACAGTTGCATCCGGCCCCCCAGAATGTGGCCTGGGAATGGAGTTCTGGGAAGGCGAAGAGCACGAAGTGTGTGACTGTTGGTGAAAAACGAGCCCGGCTCACTGCCGCCCGGCAACTCCCAACACCTGCCCGGACCCCCCTGTGGAGTGATCTGCTGCTCTCTTTTGATCCCACTAGAAACCTATCAGTCTTCGCTGTTAGGTAAAAATCCAGTTGTCGAATTCTGCTGTTCTCGCAGTCGTAGTCGCATTCGCGATGACAGTCGCAGCGGCAACGGCAGTCGCAGTCACAGCCTCAGCCTCAGCCTGCCTCCTCCTCCTCCTCCTCTTTCTCCTGCTCCTCCTCCTCCTCCTCCTCCTCCTCTTCCTCCTGCTCGTCCTCGTTCTCGTCCTCCTCGTCTTGCTCGTCCTCCTCCTCCTGGTGCTCTCCTCCTCCTCCTCCTCCTCCTCCTCCTCCTCCTCCTCCTCCTGGTGGTCCTCGTTCTCCTCCTCCTGGTGCTCTCCCCCCCCCTCCTCCTCCTCGTCCTCCTCCTCCTCCTCCTCCTCGTCCTCCTCCTCCTCTTCCTCCTCCTCCTCCTCCTCCTCCTCCTCCTCCTGGTAGTCCTCCCCCTCCCCTCCTCCTCCTCCTCCTCCTCCTCCTCTTCCTGGTCGTCCTCGTTCTCGTCCTCCTCGTCTTGCTCGTCCTCCTCCTCCTGGTGTCTCTCCTCCTCCTCCTCCTCCTCCTCCTCCTCCTCCTCCTCCTCCTCCTGGTGGTCCTCGTTCTCCTCCTCCTGGTACTCTCCCCCCCCCTCCTCCTCCTCCTCCTCGTCCTCTCCTCCTCCTCTCCTCCTCCTCCTCCTCTTCCTCCTCCTCCTCCTCCTCCTCCTCCTCCTCTCCTGGTACTCCTCCCCCTCCCCTCCTCCTCCTCCTCCTCCTCCTCTTCCTGGTCGTCCTCCTCCTCCTGGTCGTCCTCCTCCTCCTGCTCGTCCTCCTCCTCCTCCTGCTCGTCCTTCTTCTCCTGCTCCTCCTGCTCCTCGTCCTGCTCCTGCTCGTCCTCGTCCTCCTGGTCTTGCTCGTCCTCCTCCTCGTCGTGCTCTTGCCCCTGCTGAAAATGTGGCCCAGGAATGGGAGTTCTGGGAAGTCGAAGAGCACGAAGTTGCCTACAGTTGGCTACGGGCATTCAAAATGTGGCCCGGGAATGGAGTTCTGGGAACTCGAAGAGCACGAAGTGGCCTACAGTTGGCTCCGGGCATTCAAAATGTGGCCCGGGAATGGAGTTCTGGGAACTCGAAGAGCACGAAGTGGCCTACAGTTGGCTCCGGGCATTCAAAATGTGGCCCGGGAATGGAGTTCTGGGAACTCGAAGAGCACGAAGTGGCCTACAGTTGGCTCCGGGCATCCAAAATGTGGCCCGGGAATGGAGTTCTGGGAAGTCGAAGAGCACGAAGTGTGTGACTGTTGCATCCGGGCCCTGTGGCCCGGGAATGGAACTTGGTTGCATCCGGCCCTCCAGAATGTGGCCCGGGAATGGCGTTCTGGGATCTCGAAGAGCACGAAGTGTGTGACTGTTGCATCCGGGTATTCAGAATGAGCCTGGGAATGGAGTTCTGGGAACTCGAAGAGCACGAAGTGTGTGACTGTTGGCGAAAAACGAGCCCGGCACCCTGCCGCCCGGCAACTCCCAACACCTGCCCGGACCCCCCTGTGGAGTGATCTGTGAGCTCTTTTGAGACCACTAGAAACCTATCAGTCTTCGCTGTTAGGTAATCATTGATTTCCCATGAGTTCTTGAAGGATTGTGGCATTTGCTTTTTGTTCGGCCTTCCGACGGGCCAAATGCTCCCCAAAAATCGCTCAAGAGGCCCAAGACACAGCCCCAGGAGGCCCCCAAGACGGCCCAAGAGGCCTCCAAGACGCTCAAGATGGCCTCCAAGACGGCCCAAGAGCCCTCCAAGACGTTCTCCAAGAAGGCCCGAAAGGGTCAAAATGGCCTCCAGACGGACAAGGTGACTTTCAAGATGCCCACGTGTTCCCCGAAGGCTTTCCAAACCGATTCAGGGAACACATGGTCCGATAGCTTGGCAGGTCTGGCCTCAACGTTCGGCCACACAGGCGCTTCCAAAAAGGCAGGGGGCGACGGTGATTCGCCGTTGGCGTCTTAGATCCGCCGCCCCCTGTCGATTCATCGCAGGGATGCCTGGCGTGCTGAACCCTCTCGGTTTGGGTTTTGATTCTTTTTCCAAAAGAACTCCCCCTGGGGCTTCGGCCCGTCCCGCCGGGGTCCCGGAAGGATTGCCCAGGATCTTCCAGAGCCGGTTGCAGAGGGTTTTCTTGCCCCAGACGGCTCCAAGATGGCCCCCAAGACGGCTAAGATGGTCCCAAGATACCTCCAAGACGGCCCAAGATGCACCCAAGACGGCCTCAGATGGCCGCAAGATGGCCCAAGACGGCCGAAGAGGCCCCCAAGAGGCCTCCAAGACAGCCCAAGAGGCCTCCAAGAGGTCCTCCAGAAGGGGCCGAAGAGGCCAAAATCATTGATTTTCCTTCGGCTTTTGAAGGATTGTGGCGCTTGCTTCTTCTCGGCCTTCCGACGGCTCAAGACGGCCCAGGCCCCCACGATCGCCCCAAGATCGTCCACGAGGCCTCCAAGATGGCCCCGTGGCGGCCCAAGAGGCCCCCAAGACGGCCCCAAGAGGGCCCAAGAACCCTCAAAGACGGCTAAGATGGCCCCACAGATGCCTCCAAGATGGCCCAAGATGCACCCAAGACGGCCTCGACGGCCTCTAGATGGCCCAAGACGGCCCAAGAGGCCTCCAAGAGGCCTCCAAGACGGCCTCCAAGGCGTCCAGGAGGTCTTCCAGGATGACACGAAGAGGCCAAAATCATTGATTTTCCTTAGGGTTTCGAAAGACGTTGGCAGTTGATTCTTCTCGGTATTCCGACGGCTCAAGACGGGGCAAGAGGCCCCCAAGATCGCCCAAGGGGCCTCCAAGATGGCCCCATGACGGCCGAAAGGCTCCCAAGACGGCTCCAAGAGGGACCCAAAACGGCCCAAGAGGCTTTCAAAACGCCAAAGATGGCCCCTAAGAACTCCTGATATGCCCCAAGATCCTCCTCCTCCTCCTCCTCCTCCTCCTCCTCCTCCTCCGGTGCTGCACCCCTGGCAGCGGGCGCGGGAAGCGCCGCGGCCACGCCCAGGGGCTGGAACAGAAGCACACAGCAGAAGCAAAAGCATGTGCAGGCGGTGCCGAATCAAGAGCTCCTCGTCATCCGCGTCCGAAGGGCCCGGCTCGCTGGACGAGGGCGACGCCTGAGGAGGAGCACAAAAAAAACACCGAGACGCACCGCCGCTCCCCAAGGGCTGCTCCTGCCGCTGCCCTGGCGCGGAAGAGCGCTCCGGGCGCCCTCGCACCCAGCCTCTCGCGACGACGAGGGCCCGCCACGCTGTGAGGCCACCACACAAAAATGCGAAAGCCGGGGGGCCCACAGACCCTGGCACCCAGACCAACCTCGCGTCGTAAAAAATCGAGACGGGCAATTTTGCGACGTTTTCGGCCTCTTGAGGCCCTCGCCAAGCCCCAGGACCGTCCAAAAACTACCTGGCACGGAAAACCGGTCCCGGGGGAATGGGTCGGGACCTCTGGAAGTCTAGGTTGTGAAAAATCATGTAGTCGGGGGTCTGGGCACTGGAGGATTCGATCTTGTTTCTGGCCTGGGGACCCTCACAGATCGATCCAGCTCGGCAGATGCCGCAGTAGCAAGGTGGGGTCTGGGGCTCCAGGGATGATCTCCGACGATGATGCGTTCCTTTGTTCGCAGCGTCGGATCTCGGGGCCCACACCTCAAAAATCCGGTCGGAGTCGTAGGGTGGGCCGACGATGGGCCTAGCCAGGAGCGGTGGACATGTACGGCAGGTTCGTGTCGTGACGACCCCGGCGTTGGTTTCTGACACTGCGTGAATCGTTCAACCTTGAACGATCGGCGGCTTTTCGACCGCCCGATCGTTCCATATAAGCCGATTCTGGGCCACTGGCGGCGTTCAACCTTGAACGCCCTCGGCAGGGTCGCCGCCAGTCGACACGACGCGAACCTACCGTACAGATCTCGCCGCCCCACACACAGCCTCCTGGATGGGGTCCGAGGTGGACGGGGTCGGAGGATCGCGCCGCATCGCCCACACGTCGGCCAGCAGCCCCCCACCCGGCTCACCGGCTGGCTCCACGCTCTCGTCGCCCGACCGCTGAGTCACCCGACTTCGCGCACCGCGCCCCTGCCTTGTGGGCGGCGCGCGAGGGTCTGCGGGCCCTCGCGCCGCCACCCTGGCAGGCGGTCCCCAGGCGATGATGCACGCCCCGCTTGGGGCGTCGTGGGTGCCTCGGGGCCTCTGGGGCCATGTTCGGGGCAGAGATCGCCATCGCGGAGAGATCGGCCACGCAGATGGGTCAGATGGCTCGTCCTGCTCCAGGCGGGCCGCGGAGAAGGGCGCCTCGGCAGCATCCTCCAGCCCAAACCCGCGGTGCGCGAGGTGCGCCCATCTTCGCGCCCCCGCGGGTGGCATGGGACAGGCCCAGACCCCCGACGTCAGGATTTGCTCACAACGCGGACCCCTAGCAGGCTGACGAAAACCCTTTGCAAAGTTTTAGGGTTGCCACGTGGAGCCTGTGGAGGGGCTCGAGGCAGGTTGCGTTCGACTTCGCAGATCGGAGGCGTTGCCACTTTCAATATTCCCCTACAGCGGGGTCCCGAATCCACGTAAACATGCATCACATCGTGCCTCTGAGGTCGGTATATGGGACGCGGCAAAGTCTGCAGCAAAAGTATGGATGGAAACCCCGAACGGGATTGCGCCGAGCTTGATAAAACGCGGCACGATCCCGCCGCGGTTTTGCGCACCCTCTGCGCAAACTCTCCGAAGCGGTCGCTCTTGGAATGTCTGGATACAGATCTGAAGCGCCGCTGGATGCCCCATGAGGGGGCGGGGGGGTCCGGGACCCTCCCCGCGCCCTTACCCTCCTGGTCCGTCGACCTGGGCCGCCCCCCCCCTTCTCGGTCCGTCGTCCCAGACACCCCCCTTTCCTTCAGAAAGGAGGGGGGAGTGGTCGAAACCCTCCCCGCCCCCTGGAAATCGAAAATCGGACGCCCCTCCCTCCACCTTGTCAATTAGAGGGGCACCCACTGGCGGTCTTCCCTTTTTTTGTTCACGACTCGAGGGGCTCCCAGGACAGCGACAGAAGAAGAAGCAGAAGCAGAAGATGGGCCTGGCGCCGATCCAAGATGTCCGCGCGGACCTCGACACTTTATGCTTCTGCAATTGATCCTTCTTCCCTGACCCTGGACTTCACGATTTGTTCACAACGTCAATGCCCCCACCCACTCTCAACCGCCCCGACTCGCAGAGATCTAGACCCATTCCCTGGGACTGGCTTTTCGCCCCGAGCTGTTCCTGTTACGGTCCTGGGGCCAGGCGAGCGCCCCCAGAGGCTGACAACGTCTCGAGACTGCCAGTCTCAAGACTGCCCTACAGGGGGATCTTGGACGAACCCAAAAAATACCCCAAAATGATCAGAACTACTCAAAAATCGTCCCCTGACTAGTTTTAGGACTATTTTTGAATGTCCCTCCTGTAGAGGGACACGCCCGACGTAAGCCTAGGCATCCGGCGCTCCAATTTCTTCCGCGTGACCCCCAAAGGTCTGGACCGCTTCCCGGGGGCCGGCTTTCAATTATCCTGGCACGCCGCTTGACGGTCCCGGGGCCCGCCGAGTGCCCACAGAGGCTGAAAGCCGCCCGCTCCAGCCTTTTCGGAGCCTCGGACCTCTGGGAGGGGCTCTGGGTTCGAGGCGAGAGAACTCGACCCTCGGAGTGGCTCTCTTCTTCTTGGCGGCGCGCACAACGGGGTGGGGGGAGGGGGGAGGGCTTCTTAGAAGAAGGCTGCTTCTTAGAAGGCGACGGCCTTACATCTACAGATAAGGCCCGCGCCCTCTGAGAAGCAGGCGTGCTTCTAAGAAGCCCTCCCCCCTCCCCCATATGGTAGGTTCGTGCGGCGTCAGCGCGCGCACATGTTCTTGACACCGCGTCGATCGATCAACCTTGATGAATCGATAGCGTCACCGATCGTTCCATACTGAATTCCGTCGGGTCCAATGGCGCTGCCGTATTCTTCGGTGCTTCCGCCTCCCAGAACTCAACCTTGAACGCCTCCGCTGGCGTCGCCGGCGCCACGTCGCCGCATGACCCTACCGTACCCCCCTCTGCGCGTGGCTGGCCCTTCCCCCCTGGCGCCTGCTTGCTCTGCGGCGGGCGCCTCCCCCATGGCATGGCGCTGGGCTCCGCCTCGGCGGCGGGCACAAGCTCTCTGAGGAGGGTGGGGGCGCGAGGGGGGGGACGGCCATGGGCAGGATCGACGACGCCGACGCGGACGGCGAGGACGACGAGGACGACCGCCGCGGCCGCCGCCACCACCGCCGTTGCCGCCGCCGGCGAAGGCGCCGCCGCTGCCGTCGCCGCCCCCGAGGGGCGGGCGCATGGGATCGGCAAATCGGATCGGACCGAGATGCGCATCGGATCGGAGCTGCTTCCGCCCAGAGTCGGGGTCGGAGCGGATCGGCTGCGCCAGGATCAACAGCAGCGCCATGCAAACATCGGGGTGCACTGGATCGTTTGAACATCGAAACGGAATCGGATGCGGCCGACCGAAACCCATATCGAATCGAATCGAATCGATCGGATCGAAATTGTCCCTGCCATGGGCCCCTTGTTAGTCCGCATGTCATAATAAAAAGAAGGATGTCACAGCCCTCCCAGACGAGCAATTTTAGACCACCTCCAGACCAGCCCTGAAAGGGCGGCCTTTTGTCCAGACCCCACTGGAACCCTCCAAGACAGCTCAAAACATGCCCACCCTAACCAGCCTCCCCATTACTTGTGAAGTTCATCTCAGACCCCCTCAGATCGTGAATAAAGCATAGCAGAATATTTTTGGACGTCTTCGACCTCTGGAGGCTCTCGACAGGCCCGCGCACCGCCAAAAAACAACTCGGGGTGAGAAGTTGGCCCAGGGGAAGAGGTCGATACCTCTGGCGGTCCACGTGGTGACAAAAATCAAGAACGTCGGGGGTCTGGGGACCCCGTGCTACCCATCAGCCAGCAGAGGTAATCGGCGGTCGCTCGGCGGCAAGCGGCGGTCTGTCGGAGGTCTGAGGTTGCGATCGCCAGTCGTTGGCTGTCTTCCGCACGGAAGCTGAACGAACAAATTTCACAAGGGCTCCATGATCGAACACAGAACTCCTGAAAAGGCGGGAAGCTTTTCAGAAGGCAAGGACCCTCCTGCCTGCACAGATCAGCACGATGGAAACACGGGTCCTCGAAGAGAAAATCACCCAGCGCGTTCCACTACTCGCAAGGTGCCTACTCGCGAGCGGACGGAAACCAAGCAAACGTGTGCCCCAATGTCATGGATGGTAGATCCCCCGCGGCGAATCCAGGCCATTTGCGAGTAGAGTAGTTACTCTGCGAGTAGTGGAAAGCGGTTGTCCAGACGAGAGGTCCAGGGGGCGTTTCCCCGATTTCGGAGGCCCTGGGCCCTCCGCGGGCCCCTGGGCCGACAAGAAAAGACGACTATGGATCGGCGGCGAGCGAGGGGGGGGAAACGAGAATGAGAAAGGCTTCTCAGAACTAGTGGTAGCGCGAAGCGCGAAAAGCTTCGCGCTTTGGCGCCCCCCCACCCAAAGGGAGAAAAGGAGGACGAGGAGGAGGGGGAGAAGGAACGAGAAACGCGAAGCGCGAATCAATTCGCGCCCTCGTGGGAGCCCTTGTCAGAAGGCCCTCGCGCCTTCTGAGAAATTCTCTGAATCTTCGGAGAAGACTTCGTTCGAGAAAGCCTCTCGGCAGGCCGGGGGACTTCCCAGCCTTCCGAGAGGGCCCGCCGCCTCTCTCGCCTGCCCCCCGGGCTCGCCCCAGCCTGGAGGAAGCAAGAACTGCATGAACGTGACGTTCCTCATCTCCGAAGTCACAGGGGGGCCTCTCAGACGGCCGAAAAAAGGATCCTGAGAAGCCCTGCCGCCTTCGGAGAAGGCACGTCCCCTCAACTAGGAAGAATAAAAGACGCTGTAAGCATAAACATTTGGCGCTCCGCGCGAATTTCTCGGACCTGCGCTGGGCCCCCCTCTCCAGCGCGCGGAGCGCGCCAGGGGCGGCGCCGGAGGCGCCGCCGGGGGGGGGGGGCCCAGACGCCGACCCAAGAACTCCGCGCGGAGCGCCGAGAGTCACGTGTGCGCCGTCGTTTCTCCTCCGTGACCCGGGAGGAAGGAGTGGCGCGGGGGGAAGCACCGTGGGGTCCGGGGCCCGCCTCCCTCGAGACCCTCTCCCCTCCACGGTCATCGGAAGCCGTACCAGCTGCAGACAAGGCAATCTCCGCAGCCGAGCTCGCCCTCCGAGGAGCCCCCCTGCCCCCTGAAGACCTGGACATCCTCGGACACAAGAGCGAGAGGCCGATCGAGCGCCGCAGGTCGTCCTGTCCCGCTTCTGGGAACGGCGTGATACGTGAACGGCGTGATACAGTCATCCGAGAAGAGCAGACATCCAACACGCCCCCCACGCGACACTCGGCCGGAAGAAGTGGGTAGAACCGTGAAGTAGGAAGGCGTCGGAAGTCGATCGGGCTTCCGCCCGCCCCCCGAAGAGAAAGAGAAAGGCGAAGGCACCCGATCATTGAAGCAGTACGGCGCTTGAAGTAGACTGAGATCCGAAACTCCAAAACTACCCACCCTCGACGGCAGGCGGCGCGTGCCGAGAGAAACAATCCAGGGCCGCGGGCCCCTTCCCCGCGTGCAGTGCGCTGCGGCCCGAGCTCCGCTCTGGAGAGATGACCCGCCCGATGGGCCTCCCCGCCGCCTCCGCCTCCGCCTCCGCCTCCGCCTCCGCCTCCGCCTCGGCCGCCTCCGCCTCCGCCTCCTCGTCCTCCTCCTCCTGCTCCTGAAAAGAGAGCGCCGAGATCGAAAGGATCGCGCCGTCGGGGGCCTGGCTTTCGAGTCAGACTTCGGAGCCCCAAACTTTTGAAGGGGCCCAGCGACACACAAAGAAATATACACAAATCCCAGGGTTACCCGGATCTGTCCATATTTTCTGGAGTTTCGTCTTCCCCCAGATGTCCGTGCTGTCCCATGTCTTCCTGGGAATCGACGATGATTGGTGTATGCGTTTGCCCTCCTTACAAACTTGGCGGCGCGCAGAAGGGGGCAGAGGGAGGGGGGGGAGGCTTCTTCGAAGAAGGCTGCTTCTTAGAAGGCGCCCGCCCTGCAACTGGAGACGAGGCCCGCGCCTTCCGAGAAACAGGGGTGCTTCTGAGAAGTCCTCCCCCTTCCCCCTATAGTAGGTTCGTGCGGCGTCCGCGCGCGCACAGGTTCTCGACACCGCGTCGATCGATCCACCTTGCATCGATCGCGTCACCGATCGTTCATGGTTGAATTCCGTCGGGTCCAATGGCGCTGCCGTATCCCTCGGTGCTTCCGCCTCGCAGAATTGAACCTTGAACGCCTCCGCCTTCAGCCTTTGGTCCCCCCCCCTCTGCGCGTGGCCGCCCAACGGACCGCGCGGTGACCTCGGGGCCTCCCCAGATGGCCTCACCGCGCGGCCCGTCGGCACGAGCGCGGCTCCTGGGTCCCGCGCGGAGAGGCCTCCATTCGGCCCGAGCGGCGGCCCCGCCGCCATCCCACACGGACGCGCCGCGCGGTGGTCACCACACCGCTTCGGGGCATCGTCTGTGCGACCCCCCGAGGCGTGGCCTGGGCCCCACTGGGCGATTTACCCCCACGGATGGGGATGCAGGCCGTCCCCTTCGGGCTTCGAAGGGTGCATCCCCCACTGGGGTGGTGATTTGGTGGGGCTCTCGAAGGGGACGAGGATGGGGATGGGGGTCGGTTAAAACATACTGACCTTCGGGGCCCCCCGAAAAGAACGCGGGCCTCCTGCGGCCGCTCGGGGGCGATCCTGGCACCCAGGGGAGCCCTCTCGGCGAGGCGCGAAGGCATCCCGAGGCTGGAAGACCCTCGGGGGGCCCACGACGACGTCCGAAAACCTTCGACTGGAACCTTCGATGTCTCTGGGCCACCTCCCGGGGCCCAGCAAGGGCGCCTGGACGCCGAAAACGACACAAAGTCTTTGTGCCCGGAGATCCGACGTTGCGAAGAGAATGCAAAATCGTGAAAAATTGCCACCGAAGCCCAAAACCCCATTTTCTGCTGCATTGTTGGAGCTGGAGCCATATGTGATGGTCCCGGGACCCGAACACGTGCAAAAATTGAGAAACGACGACCATCTTCATTTGGAATTATCCCGGCAAAGCAACCTAACAGCGATGTGTAGAAGCATATCTGAAAGCATTCCCCTTAAGATTCAGATGAAAATCCAGTTGTAGAATTCTGCTGTTCTCGCAGTCGTAGTCGCATTCGCGATGACAGTCGCAGCGGCAACGGCAGTCGCAGTCACAGCCTCAGCCTCAGCCTGCCTCAGCCTCAGCCTCAGCCTGCCTCAGCCTCAGCCTGCCTCAGCCTCAGCCTCAGCCTGCTTCAGCCTCAGCCTCAGTCTGCCTTCAGCCTCGGCCTCAGCCTCAGCCTGCCTCAGCCTCAGCCTGCATCAGCCTCAGCCTCAGCCTCAGCCTGCCTCAGCATCAGCCTGCTCAGCCTCAGCCTCAGCCTCAGCCTGCTTCAGCCTCAGCCTCAGTCTGCCTTCAGCCTCGGCCTCAGCCTCAGCCTGCCTCAGCCTCAGCCTGCCTCGGCCGCAGCATCAGCCTGCCTCAGCATTCAAAATGTGGCCCAGGAATGGAGTTCTGGGAACTAGAAGAACACGAAGTGGCCTACAGTTGGCTCCGGGCATTCAAAATCATGCCCAGGAATGAAGTTCTGGGAACTCGAAGAGCACGAAGTGGCCTACAGTTGGCTCCGGGCATCCAAAATGTGGCCCGGGAATGGAGTTCTGGGAATCGAAGAGCACGAAGTGGCCTACAGTTGGCTCCGGGCATCCAAAATGTGGCCCGGGAATGGAGTTCTGGGAAGTCGAAGAGCACGAAGTGGCCTACAGTTGGCTCCGGGCATCCAAAATGTGGCCCGGGAATGGAGTTCTGGGAGCACCAAGAGCGATTTTGCGAGGATGTCCCAAGCGATTTCGGCTTCGGCGGCAGCCCTCCGGGTCCCGCCCCCCCTGAGGAGTCATGATGCTCTCTTTTGAGACCACTAGAAACCTATCAGCAAGAGCTGTTAGGTAAAAAACGTGTCATGATAAAATTGGCCTAAGAGGATCTAACGGCCCTCGAGTGCAACGTTAGAAAGCCTTGAAGTCCTGGAATCATTGTAAATCCTTCAGCACATAATCATCATCATCACCACCACCACCATCACCACCACCACCACCACCATCATCATCATCATCATCATCATCATCACCATCACCATCACCATCACCATCACCATCACCATCACCATCAGCATCATCATGACGACTTCTTGCTCCTCTGATTGATATCTGCTCGATGTGTTCAGGGCGCCCACCAAGGATGTACGCGCCAAACCACATACATGAATACGCACCCCCAGTCCGCGAGACCAGCCTCGTGATGCGAACGTTCGCGCAATGCGTACTCTCGAAACCAGCGCGGATTCATGTATGTGCACGTCCTTTTTTCACTCCTGAGTCGCCGTTGAGCCTGCCAATTTCCAGTGGGGGGGGCGTTCCAGAACATTGAGAAAGCACGGAGAAACCTGTGCACCACCCAACCCGAAATTTGGGCGTGCCTGGTGCCTTCGGGTTGGGCTGGGGTAGTTCGCGGGGGAACGAAGCATAAACATAAAAACTCGGAGGTCCGCGCAGATTTCTTGGATCGGCGCTGGGGCCCCCTGGCGGCGCCTGGCGCGCTCCGCGCGCCAGGGAGGGAGTTCCGGCGAGATCCGAGAAATCCGCGCGGACCTTCGAGGTTTCCTGTCTATGCCAGCTTCCGTTCCCCTGGTCTGGTAAGTAGGGAGCCTCTGATTGATGCTTGCTCGAGGCGTTGGAGGCCCAGGCTCATCCGGGGTTCCCTAATGGGGGCCGGCAAACGGGGGGGGCAAGAAAGGTGCACCTTTCGTGCACCTTTCGTACCCCTTCGGGGCCCTAAGGGGGCTCGTTTACGGCCCCCTTGAGGGCCCCTTTCGCGCAACCCTCGACGCCCGCCAATGTATCGTCCCCCCATTACCGAACGCCCGAGCTCAGGATTGGTCTTCCATACCGGGTCGTCTTCTGGCGGTGCGCCCCGGCAGGGTCGCCCAGCGAGGCTATGCGCGGCCAGGCGCCCTCTCCGACGGGCGAGGAGAGGAGGAAGAGGACGAGGAGGATCGAGGAGGATCGACGAGGATCGACGAGGAGGAGGAGGATCGAAGAGGATCGAGGAGGACGAGGATCGAGGAGGATGGAGGAGGAGGAGGAGGATCGAGGAGGATCGAGGAGGAGGAGGAAGAGGAGTTCCAGGGAGCGCGGTCGGCCTCCCCTCGCGCCACGCCCCCGTGGGCGCCGGCAGCCGCCCACGGCGCAGCCGCGGAACCACGGCCGGCGGCCGCCACCAGCAGCCCCGCCAGCGCCGCGGCGGCCACCACGGCGAGGCGCCGCGGCGGCCACCGCCGCCCCGCGCCGGGGGGAGCCCCGGCGAGGTCCTCCGAGCATGGCTCGACCGATCCCCAAAGATCTGCTCCTCTCCGAAAGACCCGCGGGGCGAGGGGTCGAGAACGAGACAGGTCCGCAGCCCCTCAGGGGAGCTTTGAACGAAGCAGCGCCGAGCGATTGCAATTCCCGGCGAGGTCCTCCGAGCATCGGTTGACCGCTCCCTGAAACTCTCATGGCGCTGGCCACGATATCCGCCCCCCGAACCATCACCCTCCCCTCGGCCGCCCCCCAAGAGGCTCCTGAGAGGCCCTCAGGTTCCTCCACAAAGGCCTCAAAGGGCCTTCCGAAGAGACCCCAAGAAGCATCCCTGTGGGCTCGTCGCCGCCGCCGCCGCCGCCGCCGTCGTCGTCGTCGTCGTCCCCCTTCAGAGTCGGCGGCACCAGCCACAGGGCCTTCGCAATATCTCAAGGCCTTCCTTTTGTGCAAGACGTTGGACGTTGGACGCTGCAGGGCGAAAAAACTGCACAGACAGAAACGTTGGGAACTCGGCGCTGCGCTCAGAAAGTTTATGCTGATGTCGTTTTTCTTGCCCAACGATCCCTATCCCCACCGGAGTGGCCTGGGCCCCACTGACCGATCTCTCCCCCGTAAATAAAAACACGGCCTTTCCACTCGGGCTTCTGAGGGCATGTCACCACCTGGGGTGGTGGGATGCGAGGGTTCGGGATGGAGATGGGGATGAAGACAGGGATCGGTTACCCGTTGGTCGGCAGAAGTGGGTAGAAGCATGAAGCAGGAAGGCGGTGGAAGTAGATTGAGCTTCCGCCCGCCCCCGGAAGAGGAGAGAAGCGGGAAAACCGCTCGACTCTCGAAGTAGGAAGTCGGCTAAAGTAGATTGACATCTGGGAATCAATTATTCACTGCGTGGGGCTCCCCATATGAGCATCTATTCGCATGGACCTGTCCGCCGTGAGTGTCTCGGCGCAAGAGTTTTCGAATATAAGCGGGCTTGAGTTGTGACGGTCTGGTCATGACTCTAACTGCGAATGAATTGGAGTGTGAATGAGTCTCACTAGTACGAGCGCGTCTCTACGCATGCGCCTGGGGCCTCCTGGGGCCTCCTGAAACCTCCTGGGACTTCCAGGGGCCTCCAGGAACCTTTCGGGGCCTCCTAGGGCCTCTTGGGGCTTCGAGTGGCCTCCTGAAGTCTCCTGGAGCCTCGCGTGGCCTCCTGGGGCCTCCTGGAGTCTCTGGGGACCTCCTAGGGAGTATTCGTGCCCCAGGGGAGGCCCAATCTGTGTGTATATATATATGTATATATATATATATATATATACATGCATACATATATATATATATATAAATATATATATATACAAGACTGCAGTGGCGCTTCGCGCCACGCACCTTGGTCTTTGAAGTTTGGTATGCAGGCGGAATGGCAGGAAGGTCAAGCCGACAATTTAGCGATACCTCCTGGTTGCCTTTTCCGGCATCGCCGCTATAATGATGTTATTCGTTATCCTTCCTCCATGCTTATTGTTCCTCAGTTTCGCCATACCCTGCGCATTCTCCCCATCCTCCTCAGCTCTTTTTTGCGGAGGCTCCTCCTTGGAGAGCCTCTAGGGTCCTCACAACAGTTGTTTCGGGCTTTATTAAGGACTTCTGGAGGCCTCCTGGGCGTATTCTGGAGGCCTCCGGGGGTTTCCTCGGGCCACCCTGCCTCCAACCGCCGTCTCCCTGAACGACCGAATCACGATTTGGAATTCTTCGGAGGGTGTCTTTGGGCCATCTTGGGCCGCCGTGGGGCTCTCTGAGGGCCATCTTGGACCCGTGTTGTGCCGTTTTGGGGCTCTCTTGAACTGCCTGGAAGCCCTTTCGGATGGTTGCGGGGCGATTTGGGAGCCTCCCATGCGGCTTCGGACGCCCAGAAGACCGCCGTCTTGGAGCGTCGGGAAGCCGAAAAGAGGAGAACCCCAAAATTCACCCCAAAACCCACAGGAAAACACTGATTTTTGCCTCGGGGGGCCTTCTTGGGAGTGCTCTCGGGGGCCTCTTTGGGGCCGTCCTGGAGGCCTCTTGGGCCATCTTGAGGTCACGTCGGTCACTCTTGGAGCGCTCTTGTGCTGTCTTGGGGGTCTCTGGGACGTCTCCGATGGCCCCCCTGATCGCCCTAAGTGTGCTGGGAAGGCTTGGCAAAACGCCTTGCGAGGCCCGGTGGCCGCTTCGAGGCCCGTCCGGAGGGCCCCAAAGCCCCAGGTCCTGGGAATCCGGTTTGGGGGGGGTGACGGGTTTTCCCCCCGCCCGGGCTTATAAAAATATAGGAAAAGGTATATGCATATATATATATATATATATATATATATATACATACATACATACATACATATATACATATACGAGCGGACGTACATACAACATGGCGGATTGGAGTCACAGGAGAAGGGCAAGATGTAAGAACACACGTTAAACACCAAGGACTCGTGCCCCAGGGGAGGCCCAATCTATAGGAGCATACGTAAAACAGTTAATATTGTATACACAGGAGAAGGACACAATATATACATATGAATACTAGAACCATCGCACGCGCTTCGCGCGCGCTCAGGTTCTAGCAGGCCCCCGACCTTGACGAATTCATTGCTCCACTGAAGTAGTGGACCAGTCCACGCATGCCAATCAGAAGTTTGCCTGATGATTGACCAAATCGCTTAATGAAGGACAACCGCCTTTGCAACACTGAATACAATATGATCGAAACAATTCAACATAGTACAAGCAAGTGAATGGAATATGGAGAATATGACAGCGAATACAACTTGTCGGAACACTGTAACAAGGACACAAGCATCTTTGAATTATGTGCCCACCCCCACGGGCCGAGTGCACCCATTATGGTGGGGTGTCTCTTGCCCGGGGACGCGCCTGCCTTAAGGGCTGCAGGCGCCCGTGGTCCGTTCCGTCGCGTCACGAACGACACCTTTGTTTCCGACGTAAGGAAAACACCCCGTGTAAAGCGCTCTGTGGGTTTCCACTTGACACCGTGTCTGGCTTCAAGCACGGTAGCTGTATTTGCCAGAAGATGTTGGGCCAGGCTACTAAACCCTGACCATCTGGCCTTCACAGAAGGGAGGAAACGACTGCCCCCTCTTTCGTGACATCGTCGGCACCTGGCGGCTTGGTCGCAGGTGTCCCCTTTTCCTTGAATGTTCGACCCCCCGCCCCCGTGACCAGAGCACTGACTGGAGCACAGGACGGCGGAGCCGACTTCGTATCCCGGTTCTCGGGCACCACAATCAGAGCGCACGTGCGAAGCCCCCTGTTTGGTAAAGCGACCACTGCTACTACTCTGGCTGATGGGAAAAAATCTGCACCGCCGAAGACGAGCTCTTGGAGAGACTTTCGGCTGATAACCAGAAGTTTGCCTGATGATTGACCAAATCGCTTGATGAGAGACAACCGCCTTTGCAACACTGAATACAATATTATCGAAACAATGCAACAAAGTACAAGCAAGCGAATGGAATATAGAATGTGACAGCGAATACAACTTGTCGGAACACTGTAACAAGGACACAAGCATCTTTGAATTATGTGCCCACCCCCACGGGCCGAGTGCACCCATTATGGTGGGGTGTCTCTTGCCCGGGGACGCGCCTGCCTTAAGGGCTGCAGGCACCCGTGGTCAGTTCCGTCTCCAGCGTGACGCGGGGCAGGCCGACGTTGACACGAACGACACTTTTGTTTCCGACCTAGGGAAAACACCTCGTGTAAAGCGCTCTGTGAGTTTCCTCTTGACACTGTGTCTGGCTTCAAGCACGGCAGCTGCATTTGCCACAAAATGTCGAGCCAGGCTACTAAACCCTGACTATCTGGCCTTCACAGAAGGGAGAAAACGACTCAATCTGCAATCCGACAGGCCTTCGAGGAAAATGGTTGTGTAGGGGGGCGGAGGCCGTATGAATCGGGTTCCCCGAAAGCCTTCTGGGAGCATGGGTTTGGGGGCGTCTTGGGGAGCCTGTTGGGGCGTGCCGTCGTCGTCGTCGTCGTCGTCGTCGTCGTCGTCGTCGTAATGTCGTCGCCTATTGGGGCGCTCCGTCGTCGTCGTCGTCGTCGTCGTCGTCGTCGCCGCCGCCGCCGCCGCCGCCGCCGCCGTCGTCGCCGTCGTCGTCGTCGTCGTCGTCGTCGTCGTCGTCGTCGTCGTCGTCGTCGTCGTCGTCGTCGTCGTCGTCGTCGTCGTCGTCGTCGTCGTAATGTCGTCGTCGTCGTCGTCGTCGTCCTCGTCGTCCTCGTCGTCGTCGTCGTCGTTTCGTCGTCGTCGTCGTCGGTTCAGGAGGGCACTTGGGGCAACTTTGTGCGAAACGATCTGCGGAGGGCCGCGAGAAGTCGATCTGTCATGTTCCCAATCAACTTTCCAGACAGCTCTCCTGTAGCATGATGGTACTTCGAAGCTTCCAGAGACTCGCGGGCCCATGATGAACCATGTCCCTGGAAGGCTTTCTGGGGACATGGTTTGTTGGGGTGTGTTGGGGGTTCTGTTGGGCGTTCCCTGGGGGCCCCTTGGGGGCCTCCGGGAACTCTCGGGCCCATGATGAACCATGTCCCCGGAAGGTTTTCTGGGGACATGATTTCTTGGGGTGTGTTGGGGGGGCCCCTTGGGGGTCTCTTGGGGCTTCCTGGGGGCCTCTTGGGCGCTTCACAGGGCTTCGTGGGAGCCTCTTGGTGGCCTCCGGGGACCCACAGGCGGCCTCCAGGGCCAGAAACCTCGAAATATATC